TAATGTAATGCAATGCAATGTATGTAATGCATGTAATGCATTCGATGTTTGTATGTACGTGCGTATGTGATGTATGTAAAGTGTGTATGTACGTACGTACGTAGGTATGTATGTATTAGTGTAGTGTGTGTATGCATGCATGCATGTATGTATGTGTATATACATATATATGTATATGTATGAATGTACTTTTGTATTTTATGTACGTATTTATGCACTCATGTTATGATGTGTTTTGTGATGTATGTACGTTATTAAATGTATGTATGTATGTATGTATGTAGGCAATGTATGTATGTATATAGGTAATGTATGTATGTATGTAGGTAATGTATGTATGTAATGTAAAGCAATGTAATGTAATGTAATGTAATGTAATGTAATGTAGTGTAATGTAGTGTAATGTAAAGTAATTTAATGTAATATAATTTAATGTAATGTATGTAATGTAATGTAATGTAATGTAATGTAATGTAATGTAATGCAATGTAATGTAATGTAATGTAATGTATGTGATGCAATGTAATGTAATGTAATGTAATGTAATGTAATGTAATGTAATGTAATGTAATGTAATGTAATGTAATGTATGTATGCATGTGTGATGTATGTATGTATGTATGTATGTATGTACGTACGTACGTACGTACGTATGTATGTACATATGTAATGTAATGTAATGTGATGTGATGTAATGTAGTGTAATATAATGTAGTGTAATGTAATGTCATGTACTGTAGTGTGCTGTTATGCATGTAATGCATGTATGTATGTATGCATATGTATGTATGCTTGCATTCATGTATGTACGTATGTGTATGTTTGTATGTATGTTATGTCATGTTGTGTTATGTTATGTTATGCCATGTGTATATGTATGTATGTACAGGTGGGCCAAGTTCAATCGACTTTGCCACCAGCGCAGGATGCTGATGGAGCGTAGCCTCTTGGACGGAGCCAGGGAATCTGACCGAGCCTTGGCATCGGCAGCGCGGAGGGTGGGAGGGTTTGAGTGCTTTGAAGATTTGTCATGGAGCCAAAAATGGGATTTCTTGAAGACGACGTTGTTCAACTTGGGGACCAGCTCCTCATGTCCGCTCCGCTTGGGGGATGCTTTTCTGGATGGACAGAATCCTGCACCAGCTGTGGATCAAAGTCTGTGAATGCGGGATGAACCATCTATCAGCCGGTGCGCAGTGGATGTCGATCCGCAGTGGGGTACCACACAATGTTACCAGGTAGGGTTTTAAGTTGGTCCGGAAACAAACCAATCCCCGTTTTTTCCATTGTCCGCTCAATTGTTTAGGGACTCCTGTCTTGTTTGGTAGGTTTTCCTTGTTCAACCAACAAAGATGAGTGTCCTTTCCGTGGCCAGTGGACGAGATTGAAAAGGTTGTTTTCAACAGGATGTAGATTCGAGCCCAAACTTGTTTTTCTCCACTTGGCGTTGCTGGAAAACAACTTACTGATTCCCCTAGAACAAGAACCCCCATTTCAGGTCGGTAGTTAAAGGCATTCGATGTAAATTGAGCAATCTGCCATGTCCTCAGCCTCAGGACCACACGATCCGCATCAATATGACACATTTGCACATCCGCACAGGGTGAAACTGAATTGCTTGCTTGCAATTTCCTGTACATTCCAAGTAAAGGATCCGGATGCTTCCAATCACGGGGACATCTTGTGTATTTGGGTCTGTCCTTGTTTAGGGGGGGGGCGTTTGGTTTTCGCTTACCACCAAAAAAGAGGGCACGTCCTGAAAAGGACACGTCCAATGCCCAACGTTCACATCCTAATCCTTGAGTTGGGATCTACCTGGATTCCTGGAATGACCGGCGCCCGGTTTGGATGTGGGTTCTCCGTTGTCACCAGATTTGCACTCCAAGGTTTCTTTGGTCCGTTTATTTCTAGGGCTTTTAGGTTGGGATCAGTCACCCAGACTTTGTCTAGCGAACTCACCTCCAGCTCGGCCAAATCAAAAGATCCCCGCAGCCTCCACCTTCAACTCTCCGCCTCTCCGCGGCGTTTCCTATTCCCAATGTGAATTATCTTTAAAGGGCTTTGGCAGACCTATGCAGCCAAACACACCCAGTCGAGCACTGGGTGGTGTTCCATTCAGTCCCCCACTCAGAAGGACAATGACACATATCAATGCCAGTCTGGTGATGAGCGCTGTGGGAACGTTGAGAGCCACAAAGGGCTCTTATGAAGGGAACCGCGACATGGCCCACCTGTTCTGGCTTTGCCTTCGCAAGGTCGAAAGGTCGGCCCATAACGGGCCATGCAATTTCTAGAAAGCGGGTTGTCTGCTGAAAACTACATCTTGGCAAAATCGGTGCATCCGAAGAACGTATTTCCTTTGGGAGGTATGCGAAACCTGATAGGGCAGGGGTGTTGTTCTACCCCAGCATCAGTCCTTTGAGTCCCATGTTGTGACCAATTTGGGCAACGTTCCTTTTTTGTACCCGCGCTGGTAGGTATCCCTTTTCGTACGTCACGTATAAGAACCTTGCTAGGGTACTAGGACCCTAGCGAGCAACACATAAGAGGCTTGCATCAAGTGGTACCTTGTCAGCAAAAGGCCACAAGTCAATTTCGGAGGGACCGGGTTACTCATTACTTTTCCCACAGAAGCCAGGCGGACTCGTTAATTCATCTCCATTGATTCTGGGTCACAGCAGTTTCACACAAATGCCCCACAATGTCGCGTATGTTTATTTGAGAATGCACGGGGAGAAGCGGCAGCTTTTGAAACTTAACACGGAACCTTCTCCTTTTTGCTGCTCCAGGTTTTGTTTCTAGTGGGAGTATCGTGAGCTGCATTGTGACCAAGCTTTGCTCATCAGTCCTCACGATTGGGAAGTGAGATTATGAGTCGAAGCCAAAACATCCATTTCTCCGATACACCCCGTTCCACTTCCATGGAACTTGACAAAGGCTCCCTTGCAGTATTTCCCAGGGACATTTTGTCATTTCTCCGCATGCAGGGACCGGTTTTGGGCCAGGAATGCTGGCTGGTGCAAGGAACCTTCTCTCCAAATATGCAGCTCTGCTGAAGTCATTGTCTCAGGTTTCAAAGGGAAACATAGTTTGACGCATTAGCCTCAGGTGTCCCGTGGGTTTGCTCCAGTAATTTGAAGCTCAGATTGCAAATTCTGACAATACTGGACTGTGGGGGCAAGGGAAGTGAGGTCTTGAGCATCAGTTGCCAATTTTAGTCATTTTATCCAGTGCTGCTCAGTTCTGCATTGCATTGTTGGGCCTGCGAAAATTCTTTAGCTTAAATGTGTGTGTGTGTGTGAACCGTCCTGGAACACGGACGTTAAACCCTTCGGAGTTTTTTTCTGAGCAGGGGGGCAATCCCGTGAGCATAGCTGGTTGCCCAACGAAGAGGGCTATGCCACGGCTGATACGGAGTCTGATCAACTCCGCGTACCTGCATCATTTGAGTGGCTCTGAAAGTCTTTTTGACCCTCTTCTTTTGCGGTTCCTGTTTGTCGCTGTTGCTTCCTGATCGGTGTCGATGTTGTGACCTGTTGCTCTGCATTTGCATTCAAGCATTTTTACTGACCGCGGTTTTCATCTCGGCTAGTGAAGCCTCTCGAGATAAGTGTGTTTACCCACGGCCTGTCCGACATGGCGCTGTGGGCTGGACTCGCCATATGCGGGAGCCCCCTGCAAGGGGATGACGTTCAAAAGTTCACGTTCAGTTCACCTTCGCATTGCACTGCCTGCCTTTTGAACAAGGCAGCTCTCATGAGGTATCAGGCTCCGGCAGCTTCATTCGCATTGCGCTGCCTGCCTTTTGAACAAGGCAGCTCTCATAAGGTATCAGGCTCCGGAAGCTTCATGCGCGAGTGACAAGCCGGTCAGACACCGACTTTGCAGTTCATTGATTCACGCACTGCGCTGACTCAGGTAGAACTCAAGTTCCGGCATCTTGAGCGAGTCGAAGAACAAGTTGAGTCGCCGCAGCAGCGATCGATCCATCTCCGCATCTGACACTGCGAGCCCGCGCAGAAAGCGCCAGCCAAGAAAGCAGGCGGGCGGAAGCAGGTCTCCCACTCCGTGTCGATCTTCCAGCAGGCTCGCACCTCAGATCAGTTCAATTCACTTTCACGATCAGGTGACACCTTGACTTGATTTGATGCGATGTCTTGCTTTAACATGCATCGACAAGGCAGCATTTTCAAGGTCCAGGTCTTGACTGAATCAAGCCGTAGTCGCTTTTGTTTCCACCCCTTTCCAACCCTCTCTCTCCCTTTTGAGATGGCTGGACACCAGCTCTATGACATGATGCATTCGCTCCTGCAAAGCATTGCGGCCGGCACCGTGTCCGGCTCACCTGGCAGCGGTGGACCGAACCTGCAGTTGTCACCCCAGATGATGCAGCCCATGAGCCTCGTACCTTCAACCAACCCACAGACCACGCCCTTTGCACCGTTTTCCATGATGCCCTATGGTGGCCTCCCGAACTTTGGCAACCCGATGTCCGTGATGCCCTACGGTGGCCTTCCTAACTTTTGGCAACACGACGTCCGGCGCCCTGATGCCCTTCATGGCTCAGAGCAGCATGCCATCTTCATTGCCCGAGCCTCAGCCGGCACGCGCCGCCGATGCAGCTGCTACGACTCCTGCCGCCGCTTCCTCGACCAACCCACATCCCACGCACACTCACCCCCAGTCCCACTCCCGCAGATCCCGTTCCCGTCACAGACGACACCGCCACTCACACTCCCACACCAGTCATCACCGTGGACACGACAAGTCGCCACGGCGACACACCACCCGGCGGGCACGCAGCTCCAGCCGGTCACATTCCCCCTCACGACCCCACCACCGCTCCAAGCGATCGCACCGCAACCCCATCTCCCTCCGCTCACGCTCCCCCCGGCGCAGGTCCTCCCCACGACACTCCCCCGCACCCAGGACCACGGCTCCACATCGAGCCCCGCAAACCCACACCTCCCAAGGTTCCACTTCCTGGCGCACTTCCTCCACGCTGGTGGAACCAATCGTGGGGACACCCACCGCAGAGCCACAGCACAAGCCACTGGGGCAAGCACCGCCACAGCACCAGCAACACGGGCAACTGGAGCAGTCAGGACAAGCGACAGTCCTGGCCACAGCAGCAACCTGAGCAACAACCGCATCCCCCACCCCGCACTGGCCGCAACAACGCCAGCATGCCCCCTTCCCTGCACCCGCGGCGGCTTTCCCAACCCCCCCTCCCCGCCCTGCACCTCCCCAACCCTCCCCCCAGCACCCCTTGGATGATACTGAAGACCTGGAGCCCCCTCCGTCGGAGGCAGAGCCCAACACAAACTCCGACAACCGGTGGCTTGATCTATGGCGAAGCGTCATGGACACAGCCAAGACTGACCCAATGCGAGTTCCCACGCCTAGGGAGTTGGGGGAGTTGGACCCGCTTCCAGCCTTGGACATCTCCAGAATGGAACAGACCAAGACCATTTTGAGGAACCTGGACCCTGCCTTGCCACCTTCACATGCCGACCTCCTTGCAGAATGCTGGGAACTGCGAACCATGGACATGGATGAGCCCATAGCGTTCGACCCCCGCTTCTACCATCTTCTGGGACGGGAATCACATGGCATGGTGTTCACAACCACTTGGTTTCCCCGACCACACCCTTGGCCGGTCGCTGGTGACCCCGGAAGCTGGGTCCGGCACAGCTTCCCATCACGCTGTCATGTATGTACACGGCACCACCCCGGATCGAATGCGCCGCATGTCCTATGAGAACATGATCCGGCCTGCTGCATGGAGGCCTGAGAACCATGACTACCCGAGCTTTGGATGCTATGCTCAGGCCACTCCCACAGCCTGCAATCCCGACACGTTAGGCCAGCTTTTGCAGAACTTCACCATCGGAAAGTCTCAGCTTGGGGCCATCGCTTTTGAGGAACTGCGCTCTGTCAATCAGCACAAGATCTTGGAGTCCGGGGGAAGCCACGAGGACCAGCACAACGTGCGGCGCCACTTTGCATGCCGCAGAGGCAAGAAATGGTGCATCCACTCCAAGTATGCCATGCTGAGAGGTGTCGCGCTGCAGCGCCCGGCGTAGCGGGGCGCGAACCGTACCATATTCCATTTGACCAAGGAAAAAAACTGATGCACGGTTTGTTCGCTTTGTTGCCTTTTCTGTGACCGATCGTTCGCCAGACGACCCTTCCTTTTGGTTGCCGTTTGCCAGCCTTTGGTTCGAACTTGGTCCCTTTCCCTTGTGTTTTCTCATGGCTTTCCAACCCCCTCGAGGCTTGTTACCGATGCTCCAAAGGCAAAACTATCCACAGCAACCTTCACCCGCTGCATCCAACCACCATGGCAACATGTACGGCAACCACACGGCCGGAACCCCGTGCAGGGCCCCGTTGGGGCCTTGCTCCCCCGGCCCCGTTATCCGCGCCCCTTTTCTCCCCTCCCTCCACCGCCTTGAAGGCCACACCTCCTCCTGTTCTTCGCCCCCCCGACGATGATCACTACGACACCACCCGCGTCGCAGGGTACGACCTGCCCAAGGTCATACCGCATACCGCATTCACCCGGCAATTGAGGGACAGGACATCGCTCGCGTTCCCCTCCTCAACTTCCTGCACGAACAGTGGAACAGCTGGTGGTTACGCCACCTCGCCCATGGAGGTGAGGTACGCATCGTTGTCGCAAAGTCGATGCCGGAGTCAGTCTTCGCCGCTGGGCTACTCAGCCAAATCCGACAACGACATCTTGACTTGGATGCCCTCGCTCTTCACGTCGCTACACAGGAGGGCACCTCGACCACCAAACCAGCAGCCATGAAGCTACTAACCAGCAAGATCTTCGACTTCCTCATCTCCCTACGGCCCACCACTACGACTGACCCAGCTTCAGCTGCCACCATCCTCCAGCTCCAGCAACAGCTTGCCGTCGCACACAGCCAACTCGCAAGCCCCATCCCCTTCACCTCCCCCTACACCCACATCATCCGGCAAGCGCCCGGCTGACCCCTCTCAGGCCTCCCTTCTGGACTTCGGCACGAAGCGGCCACGGCTGACCACGCCTGACACCCCACCACCTGACGTTTCCCCCGCCCTGCTGACGACTCCCCTTCTCCTCCGGCCCCCCCCACCCATGGCGGACCCCGGCGGCTTCTCCCCTCCCCTCCCCGCCCACCTGGAAGGAGCCTTGCGACCTGCTCCAACCCCCTCCCCACGTTTGCCAATGGCTCACCAGCAACTTCCCACCCGACATATCCGACACCAAAGTCCAGCGATGGATCACTTCCCAGAAGATCGGCAAAGAAAGCAAGCAGGCCCTTAAATGCTGGTCCAACGACTGCGCCAAATGGGCGACCACACTGGACTCCGACACCAGAGCCCAACTGGAACGAGCCGCCGTGCTCTGGGGCGTACCAGTGCGAACCCATCCAAACTAGGGTCATCGGCCCTGGGCCGCATCCTGGCCGCTGCAAGCCACTTCTACCAGTGACTCTCAACAGCACACCGGCAACGACGCACAGCCAAGCAACACAATTTCTGGCAACACCACTGCCGCCAATTTCTCACTGTCCTCCGTTTCACTCTCCGGTTCTTCCCAACCGACGACGTCACCGCACGACACTTTTGTTCCTGGCTACTCGCACAGCTTCAGCTACTTGACGTTTGCCATCTCTCGTGTGGCTCTGGCCAACTGAAAGCCCTGCTTGCCCGACTCGGCCTGGATTCCCCTGCTTCTGATTTCTCATCTCAGCTTGTCCCTTCCGCGGTTTATCTGAGATTCACCAGCCATCCCAAATGGCAAACCTTTTTCTATGTCGGTGCAACTCGCACCTCTCTCATGGCTCGGGATCACAGCCGATTCCGCAAACTACTTCAGGTTCAACGACACCATTTGGTCAACGCCGAGCTGGCCGTTCGATGGTGGGCGCATTTCGATGTTTTCCACTTTTACACTTCAGTGCCCATCCACATTGCCGTCCCCGAAACAGACCTCTTCGCCATTGAGCAGTTCCACATTCAGGAACTGCAGCCGTCTCTCAATTTTGGTTTCATCGAGAGACATTTTCGGCCACGCACGGGCTTCATACGACAATTGGACTTTTCTCAATCCCGGCACATGGGCTTTGCCACCATTTGGCGAAAGCGTCGCAGACTACGACTACCAATCGCTCTGCAACAAGCTTTCCTGGCCAAGCGCATGAGCAACCGCCTGGACTTGTGGCGACTTTTGGGCGATCTTGGCAGCAACACCCTACAACGATTTGATGCCATCCGTTACATACGGAGCAGAGACTTCCCACACGCTGCCCTATACATCCTTCATCGCATCGCTACACACTTACCTGAACCACACCACCAGGCATGGCATGCATCTTGCTCCTTTCGGACTTTGCTTTTGACCCAGCTCCGCGGGTTTGTCAGATCCACCAGGCGCAACCACGCATCGTTTTCAAGGCACACCGGAAACTATCCAGTGCCTTGTTCTCACACCTCCAGGCAGCTCAAACCTGGAGTCTCGGCGAGCTGTCCTGCACGTGTACCGATCTCGCCAAGCGACACCCATCCCTCCCGAAGCATGAGGGACACCTTCTTTTTTCTGGCTCCGACACTCATGAGTTGTTCGACCCCGACACAGTCAGCATGCTTTCTGGTTCGATGCGCAACTCCTTCTTTCCTCCACGCAAGGTCTTGATGAATCGTCTGACCCAGGCGTTTCACCACTGGGCCAGGGCCAACAACCTGCCCTCGCTTGATCCATCAACCCTTTCCACTATTGTCGATTTCCATTTCGACCTCCACCTTCCTCACACACAACAGTACTTTCTACACGCTCATGTTCAAAAGGCTCTAACAACTCTGGAGCCCCTTGTCCGCCATTGCGAAGATCATGCGGACTCCCGACTCATGCTCTATTGCCCCGCTGTGTACGGCAAGATGCTGGACGCCACATTCACGGATCCTGCCATCTTTGCTCCCTTGCGAGTCCCCTCCATTGAGATCCATCAACGGCAACAAGAAAGCATCGTCAGCAGATTCCGCGGTCGCTATCCATGGGCCGTGACCGGCTTCGGACGGCCAGCGACTGCCTACATCCTCCCCAAGAGGAAGAAGAACTGGACCACTGCTCGACCCATCATCAGCTTCGTTGGCGCCTTCTTCCGACCCATGCTTGACGCTCTCGCCAAACTGCTCCACAGCATGGTTGCCACGGCTTGCCCAGACGCATTTTCGGGTGGCGACCTTTTCGATCTTATGCGGTCTTTGCATGAGTTTCTCCGCCTCGGCCACACCCCTCTGGACTGTCGAAGCCAGGACCTTTCCGGTTTCTTCACTTCCATTGACAAAGGCCGCTTCTTAGCAGCCTGGCGTCTACTTTTGACTTGGTACCGACAGCGACAACCACATTCCACCACCACACACCTCACTGTGGACACACTTGACACCTCTTCCACCACCCGTGTCTACAACGGACGCCGTCGCCGACGCAAGCCAGCACAACGCACTCTGTGGCTTGACAACATCCCCGAAATCATTCAAGCTACCCTTGACATGCAGATCTTTTCTGTCGGCTTCCGTTCCTTCAGGCAAACACGCGGGGCCCCGATGGGATCCCCCGCATCTCCTGCTTTATGCCTGATGGTAATTGCGGTCGCCGAGCAAATTTGGGCCAACACCCATCCTACTTCGGGACCTCGCTCCTTTGAGGACACCCTCCTGCTCCGCTATGTGGACAACAGGCTCGTGTTCGCAACTCCCAGATGGTTTTCGACCCCGGCGACCCCGGCAGCCCACATCTTGTGCGACGAACACTTCTACGGAGGAGACATCATTTTGGAGACAGAAGCCGCCCTGGATTTCTTGGGTTTTCGACTGGACCTTGAGTGCGGCACCATCTCCTTCATCCCCTCGTATGAGAAGCACAACATGCTCTCCATCAAATCGGCCGCACCAATGATGCACAAGGAATCTGGATATTACTCCAGACGTACGCTGATCAGCCGGGTTTCCTTTCCTGAGTTTCAGCGAGATCACGATCTCACATTGTTGAAGAAGTTGTACCACCAACACGGTTTCACCTTACAGAAGAAAAACGCACCGGCCTCCCTTTGCCACTATTTGAGATTGCGCCCACTTTTTCACTCTTTGTCCCCCGGAAGATTCCTACTTGACCTGTTTTCACACCGCAGCTGTTTGACATAAAACCTTTTGCGATGATGGATCCTGACACAGCACGCCAGCTGCTTCAAGACTTTGAACTCATCATCGGCATTGCCCAGCAAGGCTTCGCCGCCATTCGCGAGTTCACTGAGGGTCCGGATTTCGCACCGGAAGCTCCACTCATTCTCACCGTTGAGGACATGGCCATTTCACCACCAACACCTCTCCTGACCCCCCCCGATGATCTTAATGAACAACTTCCTGAAGATCCTGGCGAACAACTTCTCGCCGATCATGATGAACAATTTCCTGATCCACCCACTCCACCGTCTCCTCCTGACAAAAAACGAGCTCGTCGCACACGTGACAAGACCTCCTCACGCTCTATGGCATCCAAACCTACCCGTGGACAACGCGAAGCTACCCCATCGACCAGGACTGATGCCGCTGCTGAGGCTGATCCCGAAGCCCCGCAACCTTGGACTGAGGAGGAGATTGATCTCCTCCGTTCGCTTAAGATCAATACCAAGGCCAAGCATGCATGGTCTGTCATCGCCACGAGACTTTCCCGCACAGTCGAAGACTGCAAGACTCAATGGGCCTTGCACAAGTGAGCTCGCCCCACTCGGGGCCTTGTGTGTGTGAACCGTCCTGGAACACGGACGTTAAACCCTTCGGAGTTTTTTCTGAGCAGGGGGGCAATCCCGTGAGCATAGCTGGTTGCCCAGCGAAGAGGGCTATGCCACGGCTGATACGGAGTCTGATCAACTCCGCGTACCTGCATCATTTGAGTGACTCTGAAAGTCTTTTTGACCCTCTTCTTTCGCGGTTCCTGTTTGTCGCTGTTGCTTCCTGTTCGGTGTCGATGTTGTGACCTGTTGCTCTGCATTTGCATTCAAGCATTTTTACTGACTGCGGTTTTCATCTCGGCTAGTGAAGCCTCTCGAGAGCAGTGTGTGTGTGTGTGTGTGTGTTTGTGGGAACATAAGGGGTCGCACACGACATTTGCGGGCCAAAGATAGTCGCCAAGATCGGAAACCATTTATGACGAACATATTTGTGAGACCATTTATGAAACTATTCAGAACTCCACTTATGAAGCCATGTAAGTCGTAAGGGGGTAGAAGCTGAGTTTGGTTTCGTTTCGTTTTTGTTTGTCGTCTTGGGGCCGAGCGCAAGAGTAACTGACGGTAGGAAGCAGGAAAATAGCAGATTGGCAAGCACAGGCCTGTCAATGTTTCACGTTTGAACATGAGAGAAATCCAGTAAAAGGAAAGCAGGAACAGTAAGCTGGCATGAGTGTTGCAGTGATTTTGGCAGGTCCCGAGTTTTGAGAAACATGTTTTCCTCATGTTTTCCTTGGATTTGGTCGAGTTCGAACAGAGCAACCTTGTGCTTCCTCGACTGAAGCGCTGGCATCTTTTGGTACAGGGTAACATTGTTCACCGTAAGACTTTGTGGACAATGCCTCACAGGATTGTTGACACCCTTTATAACAGGGAGAAACATCTTGGGTGGAGACCGGGTCGAAGGGCTCCATCGACTTTCTTTCAGAGGGGGCCAACAAGTATCTTCCTGACGCGACATTTGGACCCACAGGTCACAACCTCATTCCCGGAAAGATCCAATGCATTGATCTTAGACCTGCCAAAGCAAACGCAAATGACATTTTTTGTGGCAAACGAGCTTGCTTTTTCCCATGATTTAGGCAGACGCAAGCAAGACACTAAGTTGTACCACTTGCTAGTTTTAGGGGGGCAGAATGGCTACCATGTGAAATTTCTAAGCACGACAAGCGGGCGCGAAGAAAACAAGCAAGCAAGATCTGGGGCACGGCATGCTCCAACCACAGGTGTGGGGCCCCAATGTGAGTAAGAGTACCTTTCCACTCCAAACCTATGTCGTCATTTCCAATGCATACCATATGGATATACATGCACATATGTGGACACGCAGATGTATATCATGCCGCATCCGTCACATACGTTTGAATATATTGAAATATATTGTACATATATATATACATATATATATATATATATGCATGCCCACACGCAAGTACATGCATATGCAGTTGATAAAGCCAATGACTTGCATCGCTGGCGATAATCTTTACTTTCACAGCCTGGGCTTAACAAGCCGAACTTCTGCAACACTGGTTTTTGACCTGTTCCTTGATCCACCAGGGGTGGGCCGTCCTTCTGCGTGTTCAGAAACATCTGTGGTTGAGACATCTTTCGGTTGAGTCCATTGCTGTTTCCACATCAGCTTAGTTGGGTTTTTTCTTCAAGGGGGATTGTTTGGTGAACTGGTTGGCCTATTTTTTCATTGCGAGCTCAGAGGCGAAACCAGCTCACCATGAAGGCCCTTTGCTTGAGGATTCCTTGTTTCAGGATTTGGAATTCTAAGTAGGAAGCACACCAAACACACACACACACACACAGACACAACTTTCTTCTTCCGGCTGCGTGGCGCAGGTGTGGTGCCAAGATGTTTGGGTGGAGATTGTGTTGAGGCTCGCTGCCGTGGCGCTGGTTTCGGTGCCAGAGCTGCGATTCCAGGGACGTGGGAGCTGTCATTCCTCCTTTTGGCGATTTCTTAGTTTTGCTTGCTTTCCGTAGGGAATGTGCGAATGAGCCCTTCAATTCATTGCTGAACCATCCATTTGGCTCGGTCAGCCCGCATTCCATAGGTTCTGCAGTTTGGAATGCTTGCGGTAAAGGGTTACTTGGCTTTGTCTAGCTGCACTCCGCATTATTTTTGGGATGTATCCATCTTGGGCGCCTGCAGTATAGTCATTTTCGAGCGCTTGCTGTCGTACTACCTCGCATGATTACTCTACCTTAGAATTGCCTGATGTTGCAAATGTCTTGCATTCACTGGCATTTCATTCCATTCATCACTTTCCATTGCATTGAATTCCATCACAATTTCATTCTGTTGCCTTGCAGTACGTTGCGTTGCGTTGCATTGTGTTACGCTTTACACTGCGCTTCATCACAGTACAATGCGATGCACAATCTTATATTTCGCTACGTTACATTTCATCATGCTGCTTTATATTACATTATACTGCAGTATACAGTACATTGCGTCACATGGCTCTGCAATTGAGTTTGATTGCGTTATACAAAGCATGTAGACGCTTCACGCTGCCCGCTTCGACCACGGGCTATTTGATTCAGAGGTTTCTTTGATCGAACGACGTTCATGCCTGGCCATTCTGGCACAAGGAAGCAAGGCGGGGGCCGGTGCTGGGCACATGAGTGCGCAGCCGCGTGGCTTGAGCTTGACTCCCACCGGAGCGTGGAGGGCAAGCTGCAGTCTGGGCGCGAGGGATTGTGGGCAGCTGCTGCCGGGGCTGGGCTGGACCGCAGTCTGGTGCCGCAGTCCAAGCGAGGCGTCATTCTGGACGCTTTCATTCGTGGCAGCTGCGTGTTTTGCACATGGTCCACAGGCAACGTGGGGCCTGGACTGAGGGGTGATCCTGCTCGGGACGCAAAACATCCTATTTTGATCTAAAGGGATCTGACCGCTTCTCGCTGGCAAATATTATGTCAGGCTGCGTTACGCTGCTGATGGCTGCATCGCATCGCATTGTGTGCTATGGTCGTTTGGTCGGGCGCCTCCCGATCCCCCACAAAACAGGGGCTGATTTCCCCAACTCACGTGGAGGCAATCTCAGCAACTATTTGCGACCCTGGAGTCGCAAAGGTCCCTGTTTCATCTCGCATCTCCCTTTCTCTTTGCAGAAGGAATCGCATGCGGTTGTCCATCGTTTTCTGTTGTTCTACTTGGCTGGCAGAAGGGCAAGCAACGAGAAAAATGGTTCAAAGGCAAGAAAGAGTGGGGTTGCGTGATTTGCCAGCCAGAGCCGCGCGCATGCTGTCCGCCCGGTGTGAGCAAACCGAAAGAGGGCCGAGTCATTGAGGGCAGGAAATGCCTTTGGGTTTTGGTGGGAAAGAAGAGCCGAACAACATGGAAGCCGAGGCCAAACAATTGATTGAGGCCCAAAACTCAAAGCTCAGCGTGACGGCCCGTACCTAGTTCTTAATGCAGGCGTACGGGCGAAACATTGAACCGCACATGTTTCGGAAACGTCACTTAACTGACACTGAGACCAAAACCATGTCCGCGAGGGACTCTTCCCTGCACCGACCAGCAGCTGTCCGCGACGTCAACTTGATGAGCTGTATTGTGATTGTGTTGGTTGATAGACTAGGACCTGTGAAAGATGACTTGGTTTTGCGTGTTTCGACCAGAACGATATCAGGAGTCAAACTGGCTTGGAGTGGAGCTTCATGCGCTTGACTGTCCAGTTTCGATCCCTTGCGAGAACATTGAGATTCCGCCAGCCAACATCTCGGAACTTTCGCAGAGCGCAACCATGGAAACCACGTAACCCTCGACCGGCTTTCAGCGCGCCCTTGTTTCTCACTCGCACGGCCATGAACCCCTCCAAGCGATGAGCAACCGCAACTTCAAGTTTGCGCTTGGGAGCAGGGGTTTGCCATCGTCGCCACACTTATCATTTTAGCGCCAGCTGGCGGGTTGTCTGGGCTTCTGCAATACATGGCGCTGAGGTGGTGTCGCGTGAGGACGGCCTCGCCTTCTCCGTGGGGATTTGTGTGGGGGTGGGTGCTATGGTGGGGGCGTTGCAGCCTTACGTGCAGCGCCAGGCGCGGTGCAAGGGGTGAGTATTGTTTCCCGGTGGAGGTTACAATCCTAGGTGTGCACTCACTGTACACGACCAACACTCCCCGCACAAAGTGGTATCCGTTGAGGGACCCTCTTGAGCACCAGAGCAAAGCAGGACCAAAGTAAGGATGCCTTTGAAATCAACAACCAAACGCAAACAAGTTTCAGCAAGCGCCTCAGCCCGAACATTCCCCCGCCAGCTGCTTCAACTGCAGTTTAACGGTGTTTGTTCGTGCACCCCTGATTCATTCATACAAGCCTGTTCCATGTAAAAAGGAGGGGGTCCGTGTTCCATGGCGTTCATAGGGCAACCAATTGGAAGTGATTTGGGACCAGCCCAGCTACGTGGCAACAGCCCTTTCCTACCCCCCCCCCTCCCCCCCAATTGCCACTGGCAAAGGCTTCCCCCCTTCTGGCATGTGTTGCATTTTCCAGTGGAGAATGAATTGGAGCCCTCTTGTCATTCCTGCATGCATTGTGCACAGTTGCGTTCTTTTTGCGGAAAGAAAGGCAGTTTTTGGTCTTCCACGGGCATCCAAGTGCACTGTTCTGTTCGTGGGCGAGAGAGTTATGTAGCCTTTTGAGGGATGGGCAATGTGAGTTGAGCACAGTTCGTACCACTGAGAGAGCAAAACAAATGTGCTCCAATCCGTGCTACTGGCACGAGTCATCAAAGACGTCTAGTCTATGGCGGCACCGTGTTTGGTAAGGGGGTTTACTCAGTGGTTTTGGCAAGTGGCTAAGTGGCGGCAATGTCCTTGGTTGAAATAATGCGTGAGTTGTACACTTAGAAGTGTCATTTTGCAGCCATCCCTTTTGGGGTCTTCCTTTCTTCCAAGGAGTTGTCGTCGCAGTGTAGCTTTTGAGCCTTCACCACGACAACTGTTTAGACAGCACGCCCGCAACAGGGAGCTGCAACTTTTGCGAAGCAGGGGAATGGAGGGCCCGACAGGGTCACGGGTCTGACACGTTTCAGGTCAATGACCTGCAGTGCTGCTGCTTCTTATGTGCCTTGGCATGACTTTCTGAATTCTGTAGGATTCCCAGTAGGTTTCTATGATTCATAGCTCTTTGCCTTGACCAATGTAATGACTTTCTCGCGAGTCACAGACGCCACGGGACCCTTTGGCAAAGCCAAGGCCCGGTGAAGGAGTCCTTTCGGGTTTTTAGCCTGCGACCTCATGGTTTGAAGCCTAAGAACCCGCACGGGATCGATATTTTTCTGCTTGGAAACATCAGACCCCCTCTTTTAAGAAGAGTCTTATGTCAAAAGTGTACCTTTTCCCCACAAGTGGTCACTATTAGTCACGAATGGTCACTAATAGCCACTAATAGCCACTAATGGCCTCTAATAGCCGCTAATATTAACTAATAACCGCATACAGTCACTAATCGTCGCTTATAGCGTCACAAACGTCACCAATCGTCATGAATAGTTGCGAATAGTCGCTAGTAGTCACTCATAGTCGCTAGTAGTCACTAATAGCCACTACTAGTCGCCAATAGTCACTGATATCACGAGTAGTCACATATCGTCGCATATAGTTATCTATACTCATTATTGGGCACCCGGATCAAGTAAGCTTACACATGAACATCGCCGGGCCCACTGCGAAAGTGCAGGACCGGCTGTCGTGGCTGCTCTTGCTGTGAAGAGGATGTGGATCTGTCGCATCACTCGAAATGCTTGAGGGAGGGATGGTCATCTGCCCTATCGAGATCGGACATATCCGCAGTGCGACGACTGAGGCCTCGGGGTGGCCTCGCTGGGCTTTGGGTTTGAGCTCATTTGGCTGGCCCGAGCGGCTCTTCTTCTGCCCTTCCTGCTCCTCTGCTCTCAGATCTGGCACCCAGGCGGAGTGCCGAGAAAAAGTCGCTTCAGCCGCTTCGGGTAGCAGGGACAGTTTTGAGACCCGTCGTTTTGGGTGGACTCCTTCAACACCAGGGCCCAGTTCAACGCGGCACCACATAGCACCAGGGTTCAAGGCTGCTGTTTTGGCAGCACTCAGAGGTAGAAAATGAAAGGCCGGCAACGGTTTCATACGTCCTCTCAATGCGCCTACGGTCCAAGTCGCACCTACAGCAGTCCAATTGCTCGTATCCATATGCAAATGGCATTAACCAGATGCTTGGACAAGCGAACTTGCGGGTGAGGGAGGGGGCGGCCCCAATGAAGCATCAGAGAAGCCACCCACATGCCTCATCTTACTTTTCAAGCAGCATCCACAAGAAGGGTCCTTGTGCAATTTTCTGTTTGGTTTCCCTTTGAAAAGCTAACCCAAAAAGGATAATGTAATTGGATTAGTAAAGGGGGGACCCCCCCCTCAACGATGGGGGTATCTAGAATAGTATCTTGAGATCCAGGTGAAGTGAGTTTCCATTTGATTTAGTATTGGTAGACTTGAGTCTCCATTTGATTTAGTATTGCTGGAGCTTCCTTTTGTTTTTTTTGGGGGGGCCAGGCAACAAGACTCTATCTCGGGGACCCCTGAAATAATGTCAAGTTTGGGGCTGAAGTACTACCCCCTTTGTGGGTTTGATTGTTTGCAGGTTTTAAACAAGAGACATGTAAGAAAACATGGGTTTGGTAAAGCTGACAATTTTAGATTTGAGGAGCAGGCCCAAATCTAACAACACAGCATGAAGCACTACTTGACTAGCTAAGAGGCAATTGCACTGGGCAGGTTGTATTTTTCAGGGGGCCAGGCAACAAGACTCTATCTCGGGGACCCCTGAAATAATGTCAAGTTGGGGGCTGAAGTACTACCCCCTTTGTGGGTTTGATTGTGGGCAGGTTTTAAACAAGAGACATGTAGGACAACATGGGTTTGGTAAAGCTGACAGTTTTGGATTTAAGGAACAAGGTACCAAAGATCCAAGGACCAGGTGTTGGCTTGGCTATCTCTCCTCTCCTTTCTCATTTCTCTCTTTCTTTTTTGTTTTTTTGTTTTGGGGGGATTCTTTTTTGCGCGGGTGGCGGGTGCTTGTCTTTAATCCAGGTGCATTTATTAATCTTTTTGGGCCCCCCATTTGTCTTTATTACGCGTGCATTTTTTTTTTTATCCCATTTGGACATTACCGAGCCAACTTTGACTTCAGTGGCAACACAGTTGCGAGCGCATCGCAGATTGCCCGGAAGAAGTGGCACTGCGGCTGTTCAAGGCATGGGAGGGGCGGATGCAAAGGAAGGGACCCGCAAACAAAAGGATTTGGGCGGGGCTTGGTTTTTTTGAGGGTACCGTTTTTGGTGTAGTTGAAAGGGAAACAAGAAGGACATCCCCCATTTTGGGGGGTCCCTTTAAAAAAGACAACCCCCATTTGAGAGGAACCTTGCAGGTTCAGGGAAGTGCAACTCCCCCCTGGAGTAAATGGGAAGGTGGTGAGGGGTGTGGGTTTATCCATAGTGACGAGCCGAGTCGCCAAGCAAGGCCCAAACCTAAGGCGCAAGCTTCAAACAAAGCAATGGCTTGCTGTTTCTCAGGGAATCAACAGGGAGAGGGGGTATGGAGTGAACCCCTGAAATTAAAGAACACCATAATGGCTCATTCTCTCATGACTTGGGTGGTTTGCAAAAGGGTCCAACTGTCAGTGAGCCACCAAGGGCTTGTCTCAAAATCGGGCCACCCGCAACATTTGCTGGCGGTTCCTCATTGGTTTCCCTTTCAAACAAAAACAAGAGCATAGGGCCCAAAACAAACAAACACACACACACAAATCCTGTAGCCACCGTTTTGGAGGAAACATCAGGTTGGTCCTGGGCTTCAAGCAGACACCACACAAATTCTTCAGACTTTCAAGCACAACCCGGCGGGATGCAGGCGCTTCAGCCGAAACTGCCGCTGCAAGGGCAGGCGCTGGAGGCGGGGCAAGAGCTTCGGGCATAGGCCCACCAGGTACCTTAAACGAGCATCATGAAGCCTTGTCTGGGGGGAATCAAATATTTCCTGCTTGGGAGTTTTTTTGTTTTTTTTCCCCAGTGGTCTGCCTCTTTCCCTTTCAAAGGACACCAAAGGTTTGCGTAAGTGCGAGCGCGTACAGGGCGGGATTCGTGCGCTTCGGAACCCACGAGACAAGCCTTGAGGCTTGTATGGGGAAGGGGGGGGGGCTTTTAGGGGGCCTTGACCGTAGGACCTTAGGCCAAGGCAATCCTCATTCGGTTTAAGGCAGGCGACCGTTTGCGACCGTGTGAAGGTTCTCTTCTCGGCGGGGAATTTTGTCATTTCTCACAAGTCGAACTCCCTCGTTTCTCACGAGTCGCACGAGTCGGTTTTCCTTGTTTTATACGGTATTTTGAGCCATCAACAACCCTAAACCCAATCCCTAAGCCCCAAGACCTGAAATCTAACCCTAAAAGCAACCCTAAAATCTCGAAACCAAAGCCAAAAAAAACAAAAAACACACCATCCAAACCTTAAGAAACCTAAACCTAACCCCTAAATGCTCTAAATCTAAACCCTATAAACCCTAAACCTCAAACACACTCGTTTTTCACAAGTCCAACCTGGCTTCTAGTGTTTTTTTGCAACATGGCAAACACGTGGAACTACTGGCACATTTGACTTGTGAGACATGAGTGTACTTGTGAGACATGAGGCAAAAACACGTGTGAGAAATGAGAGCTTCGCCATTTCTGCTGGATAAGTATTATACCCTGAAACTCGACCTGGGGTTTGTCAATAGAAACCCTTTGAGCCGAGGTCGCCGGCTTTCTGAATCCGAAACGGGTTCCGTATTTGGTTCTCCTTACACAGGCTCCATGGTTCAATGGGGGTGTCGTTTTAAGGATGTATAAAGTTTTAACATGTCTCGGGTTTCCTTTTGATATCACTGCACCTCAAGAACCAAAACACCAAAATGGCGGAGCCTGCTTTCTTAGGTGGCCGTCGAGCCTTTGACCCTTTGAGGCCGAGCCAAGTGGATTGACAGGGTGTGTGTTGCTTGGAAGGTCCCCCGTTTCACTTTGGTTCCGGACAACCACTCATGTGGCGCTGCTTTTGGGGGTATTGCGACACATACCCAGACGTCATGTTTGCTGCAGGTTGCAACTAAGCAAAGCGCCAAAAAGGCCCTCGGCCCCATGTTTATTGTCGTTCGCATGTGAAACTGCTGGGACCCTTTGGCGGAGCTGTTGTAGATCTTTTGGGGGCAGCTTTGCTGAGTGAAGCGGCCCGAGCCTTTCATACCTCCAAGAAATGGACTGCGCGTGGACAAAAATTGGCGCAACCACACCCCCATAGGAAACATGACAGCGTCTGCGCAGAAGCATGCTTTGAGACCGCTGGCACAGAGCGCATGGGTCAAGTTCTGTGAAGGAGCCCCCATTGGGGCCTCGGAGTGCTCCGAATTCGAATTCGGTGAGACCCTGCACACGTGAAGGTTAGCTTACAGCCAGACACAACAAGGGAGTGGGGGGGCGGTGTGTGCTTTCTTTAGGCGGAATGGGTTTGTCTCCAAAATGGAAGCAGCAGAATTTGAGAAGGCCAAAGGTGGTCGCGGAAATGGCAAAAGCTGGCTTGGCCAAAGTCCTGTAGAGTTAGAAAAGCAGATGCACACAACAGCATATCTATATCTCTAGGAATCCAAATCCAATGAGAGTTGGATACCACCTCTCTCTCTCTCTCTCTCTCGACTCTGCATGCATAATACACATGTACATATGTATGTATATATATATATATATATATTCGTACCTTGCTCTGTACCTTCCCTGCAATGTGGTAGACAGGGTTGCTCGGCCACTTGCCGTCACTTTCGAGGCCTCTGTGCTGTCATGGCCCTCCACTAACATATTCTTCCCAGCTAGAGGTCGAAACTCTACTCGACTCGGGACCGGGCCCATTACTGTCATCTAGGCCTTGAGTCAAGTAGTGTTTTGACATTCCTGGCTTCTGCGGGGAGGTCAAAACTCTACTCGATCAGGGACATGTAGGCTAACAGTAGACGGCTTTCTCCCCGGTTGAGTAGGGTTCTGACATCCAGCTGTGACGACTGCTCTTTGGTTTTGCGGCCCAGGTGTGCAGGTTCGATTCCTGCCGCTGCACTTGCTCCAGCCCCTTCGTCCTCGAGCTCCCGTCTTGCCATGGTCGCCCGCGACCATATATGTATACATATATATATATATATATATATGTTCCAGGCCGTGGACCCCCCCCCCCCCCCCCCCCCCCCTGTGGGGGTGGGGTGGGTGGGTGGTGGGGTGGTGGTGGGGTTGTGGGGTGGTGGTTGGGTGGTTGGGTGGTTGGGCCAACCCCGCCCCCCCCTGTGGGGGGTGGGGTGGGTGTGGGGTGGTGGGGTGGTGGGGTGGTGGGGTGGTGGGGTGGTGGGGTGGTGGGGTGGTGGGGTGGTGGGGTGGTGGGGTGGTGGGGTGGTGGGGTGGTTGGGTGGTGGGGTGGTTGGGTGGTGTGGTTCGGAGTTGGTTTAGGCTTGGTGGGTTGGTTTAGGGTTGGTTCAGGGTTGGTTCAGGGTTGGTTTGCGGTGGGTTTCGGGTGGGTTTGGGTTTTGGGTTGATTTAGGCTTAGGGTTGGGGTTAAGGAGGGGTTGCAGGGTGGTTTGGTTTAGGGTAGGATGTTGCGAGAGGTGCGGGGGTGTTGGTTCACGGGGTGAAAGGGGGTCTGGGACCGAAGCTGCAGGGCTCGCACGGTACTGGACAGCATCCCCAGCATTGCCAGCATCATCCCCAAGATGCGGATGATGCGGGGGAATGGGGGGACCATACCATTGGGGGGGGGGGGGGGGGTACGTGGCCCAGGGACTGGTACATATATATATACATATGTATATATACATATATACATAAATGTATATATATATATACATATATATACACATATATATATATATACACATACATATATATATAGATATGCATATATATTTTTCTATATGTATATCTCTATATGCATATATATATATATATATATGTATATATACACACATGTGTGTCTTCAGCTAGTAGCGACACCATTCAGCCGAAAAGCGTTTCCTTGACTCACGCGCTGGTGATGACGGAGGCATCGACCGACCAGCTGACGGAGCCCCAGCACGCGTCGAGACAACACTAATGCAGCTGCAGATACTACGGAAGGCGATAATGCACGGCTACAAGCAACGAAGGACGCCCAAGACAGCCACAGATCAGAATGAGACTCACGCACAGCGGAGACGTCAATGGGAGAGCGGAAGGGATCCACAGATGCTGCTCTGACGAACGCCAAAACGGAATCCGCCGCAGGCAAAGCAGAAAACATGTCAATGTGCTGATCAAGATAATAAGGGCAAGCGTGCCACGCGGAAAGCAGGATGGACGAACGGTTCGGTGGCGAGACTCCGGCAACGCGCAGAAGCAAAACAAGAGACAAACGCAGGGAGACCACGCGCGGACGCAGCATGATAATGTTGACCCCGTATTAGTATGTAACCCCCACCCCCCTCGAAGGTCGGGGAGGTTTTGTGGGGCAAAATTTTGGAAGGTTTTTTGCCACCACCCCTAAATAATCTGGAGTTGAGTTTCCATTTGATTTAGTATTGCTGGAGCTTCCTTTTGAGATGGAATTGAGTTTACATTTGATTTAGTATTGCTGGAGCTTCCTTTTGAGATCTGGAATTGAGTTTCCATTTGATTTAGTATTGCTGGAGCATCCTTTTGAGATCTGGAATTGAGTTTCCATTTGATGTATGCCCAAGCTGACGCGTCGCTCGTCCCGATCATGGAGGCCGAGCAGCGATGAGGTCGCCACTCCCATGCACGTCCGTCCCAGCTCGTGACGAACGTTGCCCGCGGTGATGAGGAGATCCCTCATCCTGGGGCCGCGCTCATGCTGATATACCTCTTGTCGAGGTCAACTCATCAGCAACGTTGGACCGAGGTCGTGGAGTTGACTCTGAGGCACGCATCCGGGCAACGCATCGGCACAAGAAGGGTGACCTATCACTCCTGTTTCACTTTCGGACACGGGGGGTGTATTTTGTATTTTGTATGAGCACGTCTTATCACTAATAGGTGACACCTCAATAACCCTGATTGCATGAGCGTCTCACTTGCATGACGTTGTCATGCTGTGTGCAACACAATGATGGCACAGCGCTGGGAGGCCCAAAGCCTGCATGGATCTACAACAGCCCCGCCTTGTAGGGCTGTTACCTAGGGAGCACCCTACCAATGTCATGCAAAGTGGTTTGTAAGGAGCCGCTCACCCATCGGGTTACCAGCTTTTTCCCCACACCCGCATCAACAGCTGCTCTGTTCTTTCCTCCCCTATTGCTGCGCGGGATGCTGGAACGCAAGGGGTCCTGAGCCACAGCGCATTAGGATGCGCCGTTATGCCCAAGCGACCAAATATACACGTCCTAAACACGGACCAGGGAACGGGAATGATGCACACACTCCACGGTCCGGAAGTCACAAACTTCACGCCAACACCCAAAAAAACCAGCCTATCAACTTAACTTGCCCGCCTCTGCAAACAAGGCAGCAAGCGCTCTGGACTCAGCCCTTTTTGGACCTTTTGTAGTGTCCCTGTTTAAGGACCTCCGAGTGCTGTTCGCGTCAGCTTCACCATCGGACCTGCGGTAATGGAATGCCATGTTGTGTACCTTCACACCACGCATGTCTAGCTTGAACAACACAAAGGTTTGCCAATGTCCTTTTCTGTTTCCGCAACAATTTTCCATTTAAACGATAGGTGGTCGTTGTAATGTTAGCACTTGATTAATAAAGGCCCCCCCCCCCGTGAACAATGGAAGCGCCAAAACAATGGGGGTGCACTTTTGGGACGTCCAAACAATGGAGGATTTTGGGGCCCAATTCTACTTTAGTATTGCAGCCACTTCCTTTTTGCAATTCTACTTTAGTATTGCAACCACTTCTTCCTGGGCAGACTTTTTGGAATACTACTTTAGTATTGCAACCACTTCTTCCTGAGCAGACTTTTTGGAATACTACTTTAGTATTGCAACCACTTCCCTTCAGTGTCGGACATGCGAGATGTTGTTTCCTCGTTTGCTCAAGCTCCGGCCCATTGGTTCTGTGAGTTTGGACGTGATGAACGCACAAAACAAAACTGCAGGTCTGCTACAGACATGCGTCTCTTGTGAATGATCGTTCGAACACCGTTTCAGCGTTTTCCCCACGCACGCAAGAAGAACATACAGCACTTGCCGATCGCGCTTCCAATGGCAACCTCCGATGGCTCAGGCCTGCGACACATTTGCAAATCTTCTCGTAGTGCAGTACCACACACACTTGCACTTGCACGATTGATTTTGTAAGGACGACGAAGATGAAGAAGATGAGGACTTCCTGCCCAAGCATTCTCCAGGAGCCATTTTGTGAGCCGCTTGTGAATCTGCAGGACGTTTTGCTGGACGGAGGTCCTCCATCCCCAGCATCTCCTGACCGAGAGTCTGACACCCTGCAAGAGCGTGGTGACAATGTGGCCCTGCCATGCTTTTCCTCTTGCAGCCCGTTGGGGTTTGCTTCCCGACATCAATAAGGGTCAATGGTCAAACGCAACATGGGCAGTTTTCGCTTGTTTTGCCTTCGACACAACACCAAAGAAAGTTACCCTCAAAAACGCCACACCCATTTGCATGGCTGGCTGCCCGCAACAATAGCCCTTGAGAGGAAGGCGTGTCTCCTGTTTGCCAGTCTCTCTTTGGCAATATTGACCCAGGATGAATAACCCTGAATTTAGGCAGGCCCATTTTCAGGGCGAATCCTTCACTTTTGGAGGAATCACATCCACGAATCTGAAAGGGTTTTGCATTCGGGCTCAACACTCAGTTGATGCCGGATGTTTCAGCCCAAAAGAGATGTCCCAGCAAGCACGCCGCTTGTGGCCTCACAGATCCGGGTCTTCGTCCGCGTGCGGCCGCTGAATGCCCGAGAGGAGCCCGGGTGTGTGGCATGTGCGTCGCATGCACGTGTGTGCGCGGCCGACGACGTGGTGGGTGGGTGGGGGGAGATTGTTGGTGACTCCGAATGGGAAATTTAGGTTGATGGCAGGCCGGCCTTGGATTCTAAAGCTTTGAGTTAGCGCGTTGAGTCCAGGAGAGTGGCGTGTTGAATTCTGGATAGATTCGAGATGCATTCGGAAAGGAGAGTGCTCATCTACGTGACAGCATATGCGTTGACACCGACACTGGCACAGTCCGGGCCACAGAGATTCATTGAGTGCGAATGTGTGTGTGTGTGTGTGTGTGTGTGTGGGTGCGTGGGTGTGTGGGTGGGTGGGTGGGTGGGTGGGTGGGTGGGTGGGTGGGTGGGTGGGTGGGTGCGTGCGTGCGTGCGTGCGTGCGTGCGTGCGTGGGTGCGCGCGTGGGTGCGTGCGTGCGTGCGTGCGTGCGTGCGTGCGTGCGTGCGTGCGTGCGTGCGTGCGTGCGTGCGTGCGTGCGTGCGTGCGTGCGTGCGTGCGTGCGTGCGTGCGTGCGTGCGTGCGTGCGTGCGTGCGTGCGTGCGTGCGTGCGTGCGTGCGTGCGTGCGTGCGTGCGTGCGTGCGTGCGTGCGTGCGTGCGTGCGTGCGTGCGTGCGTGCGTGCGTGCGTGCGTGCGTGCGTGCGTGCGTGCGTGCGTGCGTGCGTGCGTGCGTGCGTGCGTGCGTGCGTGCGTGCGTGCGTGCGTGCGTGCGTGCGTGCGTGCGTGCGTGCGTGCGTGGGTGGGTGGGTGGGTGGGTGGGTGGGTGGGGGGGTGGGTGGGTGGGTGGGTGGGTGGGTGGGTGGGTGGGTGTGTGTGTGTGTGTGTGTGTCTTTCAGCGCACCTTTTTGGGATGGTTGTGAAGGGAAAACAAAAGGAACGCTACCATTATTGGAGTCCCTTTCTTGCGACACACACACACACGCGCACACACACACACACACACACCGGATCGCATTGCTGATCGTGTCAGCTTGGCAGCTTGGCATGGTTGTCATCGCTACTTGGCTCAAGTAAAAGAAGACTATGCCATTTGTGCGCCATGTGAAGCTCAACTTGGGGTGACTCGGCCGAAAAAGAAGCCAGCGCTGCTCTTTGCAGATCACATCCGGTGTACGGGTTGGGATTTTGAGGAACCCCCACAAAGAATCAAAGGGAGCATTCAAAGGGACTTGAAAAAGGGGGAGTGCCCTTTGAGTAGTTTTGCACAGCCCGGCTTTGGGCAACAACAAAAATACCCAAGCCGTCTGTCCGCCTGTGCATTCACGGGTCTTCCAATCCGAGGCTGGTCCTGGCCTCGATCTCATGCGCGCAGGTGACCGTTCATTCAGATGACAGCGGCGCCTCGTGGTGAATTCATCGGTAGGCGAATCGACCTTTCAACACAAACTTTGTCTCTTTTTCTTTTCCGGTTTGGTCCCCATGTTCTGTCAAGGTCAAACCCCGAACCTGATACCAAGAAATTGCTCTGTGTGTGACCCAAACTGAGTCTGTGAAATCCAAACCATGTCCAAGTTGAGATGAAGTTTTGTGAGACATCGACACCCACGAGCCTTCCGTTACAACGGCTCGGTTTTCTTTTGGATCCCCCAGCCCGCGCGCGCGGGGAGCTCCCGCTCGGGGTGCATGGCGCCTCGGCTCGCGAGGCGGCTTCAGCTCTGGGGTGCCCTTCAAGGAGTGGCTGCGCAGCGTCGAGATCGAGGCTCCGCCTGCTGTTGGGTTGTTGTTCTTTAAGCAACTCAGCAGGTACCTCGGTACCCCAAAAAAGGAAATTCATTTGTAGCATTTTGGGGTTCCATGGAAGCTTGGGTATTTGTAGGTGAACGAGCAGAGATTGACATGACATTGGAGACACACCCACCGTGACCCACCCGCTCAGCACGTGGAATTGCGCCTGCCTTTGGATCGCGCGCAAGGTGCCTGAGCCGGAGGGACCCTTTGGCAACCCGCTTCAAGTGAGCGGCGGCAACTGCAGCGGGATCCGGACAGAGCTGTGATGGGTTTTGCGTCGAACAGGACATGGACGAGGTTCTGGTATTAGATTAATTTGTTGAGATGTTTGGCGAAGCTGAGGGGATCCCAAGTGAATAATTTTGGAGAGGCTGCAAAGAGGCACGGGCATTGCGTCCTGTCGCAGGCGCAGTCATTAGTATATGTTGAAAGGGATTCAAAACGGAAACCAGCCGTTTTGGGCGGGTTCCCCATTAGAACGAACTACCCCTCTGCATTTGATGCATGGGGCGAGTGCTTATCCTCAAGCAGCGGGCATTGGAATCTCGCCGGCGAGGATTACACGCTTGGAGGCATGGCTCTCGGTTCTGCGCTTGCGACAACTTTGAAAACGACACATGGAACGGAGCGTGTCTTCTTTGGGCCCCCCCAAAATGGTGGTCTTCCTTTTGCTTTTAAAGCCCACACAAAGTAATGGCACCCTCAAAACAGATGCCAGAAAAAGGATCAAACATGCCTCGCGAATGAACGCTTGGCCAAGGGAACTTGCAGACATTTGGTTTGACGTGACGCTCGTTTTGTCTGACAGGCCACCGATTTGACGGAGACCATTCTCTCGCCCGCCTTTGGCCTTCAGGCGCACTGAACGATTGGAAGTTCTTGTGCCAAAGACTTGGAGTTGTTTTTTTCTTCATGGCTGGGATGGTTATCCATGGTTGAGCAACCTTCTAGATATCCAAATTGGAAAAAATCCGCATCTCACGAGAGTTTTGACCATAAACTGTGCGATTCTGAGTGGGCAACGCATAGGGAATTTGCTTGACTTTGGGGTTGTCGCCAGGGTACATTGCGAAGCGTCAGAGCAAGGCCGCCGTCAAATCAAGCTAGGATATATATATATATATATATAACACATAGAACTCTGGGTTGCGGGGAGCCTTCGGTCATTTACTAAGAATTCCCCGCCCGGACAACATGGTCTGGACCCCGCTAAAGACTCGCTCTACAAAGGAGCATGTCTTCCAGGAGCCCCCGGTCAGGTTCCATGTTAGTTGATGGGAGCGTGTTAGGAAATGCTTCAAGGCACCCTCTACAGATTGACATGGAACCCCAAAAAGCCATCATGTCTCGCGCAGGAAGCGCAAAGGGAACCCACACCCAACCACAGATATGCTTTCTTCCGAGTCGGAAACACAACATTGGAAGAGCATCAGGAGGGTCGCTGAGTTTTGCGACACACTTGTGTATCTCGCAGCTTTTGGCTTCACATATATGCCCTTGCCCTGACATTTGGCTGGTTAAATGGGGCAATGAATGAAACGCACCGACCCCGCTGAAAAAGAAGCTGGACACTCATGAAAACGCTCGTGCGCGAAAACCACGACAACCGCTCGTGTCAGGTGTCTGCTGATTTGCAATGCCTGGTGCTGGCCAGTGGCGGGACCTTGGCGATCAGAGACTCGGCATTTGATGTCCTTGTCCCAAGCCAGCACTTGTAGCCCAAAGTGTCAGCCAGACTTGCAAAGAAGGGAATTGTGAAAGATGCAGTGGTAGGGTTTCCTAGCTCTTTCCACGTTGTTTCTGGACCACGAACCTTTGTTTTTGTATTTTTTCTCCCTGTTTTGCCATTGTTTGCTGACGAGTCATGCATCCAAAAAAAGGAGCGTGACAATCTTTGCCAGCATGCCCCACTTAGTCATGCATCTTCAGATGTGGACTTGAACCGGCATTGCCTGGGTTCCGCTTCATCTGGCCAAACTGGAGGGACTTTGGCGCATGGCACATTGGGTCTTTTCGTTGAGGGTGCCTTTTGAGGATCGGGGACACTCAGCTCCTAGGCGCATGCAACCCGCCTGTTGCAGGCTTTGCCGTGGAGAATGCCACGGCAGACCTCGGCTTCACGGCGCGCTGTGTGCATATATATATATGTATATGTGGTGTTCTGACCTGACCTGAACCACGGTACGCGAACTGGGGAAAGGACGATTGAATCTTTTCAGGCAGAGTCCTGTGTCTTCCAAGCCCCAAGATGGATTTCAGCTCAAGAAGGAGCTTGGGAGGTGCAGCCGGTGAAGCCCGCGGGGTCGGAGCTGGCGGTGCCCTTGGGTGCGGACGCCCAGGAACAGCGCCGTTCGCCGTTCGAGCCGCCGATACATAGTCGTCCCGTCAGGTGCCTTGGAAGGGTTCCTTGGGATGAGGCGGATGAGGCGACTGAGGCTTGGGGTTTCCATGTGATAAGAAAAGAATGCCTTTGTGAAAAAGTCGTCTTGTGGATGGCCCTCGTCTGGGCCCCCTTGGTACAACGAGAGGTAATGCCTGAGCAGGTGAGCAGGGAGCCCTGGCGCTTCGACACAGAGACGAGCCGAGGTCAGGTGCGCGTCACCCGCTGCTCCGTCACGGTGACTCGACCGAAGCCAGACCCGGAGCCCTGACACGTTGCGCTCTTCCTTAACAAGGCTGTTCACAGGCACTCTGCTAACATCCTTCCAACTCGGGTTGCCAAAGAACATGGCCCCCCTTGAACCGATTGCCAAATGGGATTGCGGATGAATTAAAGTTTGCAGCCTTTGTGAGGCGTTTCGTGCGACCAGTGGTGACAAGAGCGACTCCTGTCTTCGCAGAGGTCACCATGCGCAAGCTGCGCTTCACGGGTACCTCGTTCATTGAGAGCGCTCTCAGTCAATTTGGGCCCTCCTTGGAGCAATTTGTGAATCAGGAGCCGCAAGCGCGCTGAAAGGCGCCTCTTGTTATCTGGCCACGAATGGGGCGACCAGGGGAAGAGGTACCTCAGCAATTCGACTTGCGCGCTTCTTCGCCCTGATCATCTCTGCATGTGGATGTAAAAGCCTTTGAAAAGGTCGGCAGTTACACGAAAAGAAACACATGTAATTACTTCCGAGGTCCACCAAAGGATCCATCTTTTTCCCCTTGAACTTCAGCGTTTTTCTACTTGAACTTCAGCGTTTGCCGTTGCTGGGGGTGGAGGGGCTTGTTTTCGCAGGAGCTTCCCAGTTTGGCCTGTGCTCAGCTTCAGCCCCAACTGGAGAAGCAGGCGTGGGCTGGTTGTCTTGAGGCTTGTCTTCTGGTGATGGGATCCCCAAGCTCGTTTTCCGTTTCGTTCCTGAAATACCAAGACTGCGCCAGTTTTGAAGGCCTCAATAGCTACATGCCAAGAATCAACTACCGGCCTCAAGAATTTAGAGGAGGGACATTGTGGGGAGTTCCCTTTGCCCCTTTTTCACGCTGCTTTATTTTCCAATTGCTCGATGTTTCGGACAATCCTTGCTC